AACAAGCAAAAACAAGCATAACCCGCGGGTCAATTGGTAGTGCGTTAGCGCAAACAAGTCGCGAGCGGATAGCCGAACTGAGATGGCCAAGAATACCCTCTGCAAGACCGGGGGAGTGCGGATAGTGATAGTGTATGCTTGCATTACTTTGTAGCGCAGGGCGCTCATGCGAATGAGTACATGCCAAGAATGCAGGCTGCGATGTTCAGCATCAGCGGGACCCGTCACAACGCTACCGCGCTTCATCTTGGCTCTGGGACCTTCGGGTGTTTGACGATGGAGGTGGTGAATTGCATGGAATCCCTCAGCTTTAGCAGAAAGGCAAAGTGACCACCAGGGGTAGGCACAGTTTGTCAGCACATCATGTTGAGCTGTTGCTAGCGGCCGGCTTACTTTCTGATTCAGCACATCTTGATTGATTGACAGGAACAGAGCAATAGAGGCAGCTTCGTAAGCATACATCGCTGACAGCCCGCACGAGAGCAAGCTGGCAGCATTTCCGAGCGAAAAGATGCGCGCCGCTGCAATGACTGAACCCGGCAACTTCGAACCCGAGCTTGCGAACACGGCTTGCGAGCTGAGCGCTTTCCGAGATGCACCTTGGCAGATGTCGTGTGCCTTCACCCGGGGGGGGCCGTAGAGATGGGGCTTTGGGCGATGAAAGGTTCGGCCCCAGAAAAGCACCCACGAAGAAGCGAGGCCTCATGCGCCGAAGAGTGTGGGCCGGAGCGAACAGCGAAGACTCTGTCTTGAGCTGCAGAAGAAGAAAGCAAGCAATAGGAAGTTAGTCAATTGAAGGTGAAAGGGGTTAACAGGAGTTAAAGTACAGTTAAAGCAGGCCAACAGAACAGAAGTTAAAAGGTTGTAGTGGAGTCAGGGTGTTCTCAAGGCGTCAGGAGGGTGGATTTCGTTTGTTTTGCACCCTTGCACCTGCGATATGCATGTTTGCAATGGCAAGCTTCAAGTTGATACAGGGCCTCTACTGTACAGCGACATGCTGAGACAGGGCTTGAAATGTGTCCTTCTTCACCGGGTTGCTGAGGCTGCCGAAGCCTTTTCTGGATCCTGCTCAGGGTGTTTTGCGTGGATGAGTCATTCGAGTTACAACTCAGTTTGATGCCGCTCAACGCATCGATGTTGCAACTTCGCCCAAAGCCCACACAGCAGATATAGACGTAGGTAGACCAGTAACTAAACCTTAGTCCGAACATGCCCGAACCCAGGAACTCCGCCGCTTCGCCACACGCCGCAAGACAGAGGCTCAGAGCTCGACCTTTGCAGGCTCAGCAACAGCGCGGAAACGCTCTGAGCTCTCTGCCTCTCTTGTCCGGGTGCTCTCTTTGATCTCTTATCTCGGTAGCTCCTGCGTAGCATCTCGTAGCGGCTGGCAGGTGATTCTGCCGGTGGAGGAGGGCCTGCCGAGGCAAACGGAGATGGACTCTTCCAAGAGCTCCAAGAAGGCCGCGGCGGCCCTGTGTCGCTGGGGGAATTGGACTTGCCTTCGATGGATCCCCCGAGCTTGCCCAAGGGACTTGCAGCACGGCTTAGGGTGGCAGCGGCGGAATGTGAGGCCAAAGAGCCCGTGTCGGTGTCCAGGCAAACCGTCGATGCGAATGCGACCCAATCTTGCTCTGCCGTGGAAGTCTTCGTGAACAGTGGCGGCTCCACTTCTCTGCCACAATGCTACGCGGAAGATCACGGGCTTTGCACGGCCGCAGCCGCTGTCCGAAAGACGGAGGTGACCGAGGCCGAACTGGCCCAGGTGGCCGAGGTGAGGAGACTGCGAAACGAGTTGGCAGCTGCGGAGATGCGCTCACTGGAGATGGAGGGTCGCCAGGACGAGCTGCTCGCAGAGCTGAAGGCGTTTCAGCTCGAGATCCGCCAGGAGAGGCCTGTTTTCATCATCCAACTTTGCCGGCAGAGGCTTTGCAAGGGGTAGACAGCTTTTAGGCTTTTCAACGTGGCATCTGGCGGATCTGGCGGCGCAAAGGGTCTTCTTCAGCGATAGGCTTCAGAGTCGTAGAGTTTGGACGTGTTCCGGCATCGATATTATGGATTGTGCATTCATGTTCCTGCTGTTTCTGATTGCATCCAGTCCAACAGTATCCAGCCGACAGCTCGGCCTGCCATGGGTGCAAGTCCTCAGGTCCCTTTGTTACCTTTGCTTGTAGACGGTAGCTTTTTCAAGTGCTATGGGGAAGGATCGAACTTGTCGCTGCTGGAGTCAGAGACGTCCTCGGGCTCTCCAAAAGTCCCTGCTCGAGTCTCATGGCCCATAACACTCCATCATCCGCTGACATTCTCGGAACGGTTGGACTGCTTGCATTGAGCACGGGCCTTGCGCCTTGCCCAGGAGGAGGCCTACAACCAGGAACTAAGAGCCGAAGCTCAGCCGGCTGGAGAGAAGCATGCAGCGAGGGAGCTGACGGCTGCTGGAGCCAAGCTTTTCAGACTGCTTCAAGCACAGTACGTGATGGCTAGGCCCGAAGCCCTGGCTGGCCAAAGGCCATTGTACAGTCTGCCGAAAAGCTCAGCCTTCGATGAAGCTGCGAGGACACTCCTGTCGGAGATGTCTGCGTCTCTTCAAGCCCTGCAGGAGGCTCCATGCTTGAGAGGGCAGGGACACCGTACTGCCACAGGAGCGTATGTTGCGAAGCTTAGTCCGGACAGAAGTCTCCTTCGGTCCTCACCTTCAGATTCGCGCAATGGCAGAAAGAGTTGAGGAAGAATGTTGCTTGAACGTCGCAGCGTTTGCAACAACAGTGCAGACATGCGAGTCTCAGCTGCCCAGGCCTTCCAGCATTGTCCGTCGAACCTGACTTGTATCGTGAAGTCCTGAAAGACATGCTCTCCGCTCCCGGTTCAAAGGCCAGTTGCTGGCCAGGAGCCTTTGATGTCATGAGTCATGAAACTCAACAAGTCTTGCAGTAGTCTTGCAGCTGGGCATCCGTAACCACGCCTTTCTACGACCGAAGTGGCAGCTGAGATCCGGTACAACCACAAGCTATGCCAGCAAGAGTGTAGCGCATGCGCATTCCGGCATGCTATGGAGGACCCCCGGCCACTGACAAAGTGAGCTCCGTGCTGTTAAGCCCTCTCATCCGGCACGGTATGCGAGGATGCTGAAGCCAACGGTGCCGACGGTGCCGACGGCGACGGTGAGGAAGGCGCGGCTGTTTCAAGACAGATAATATGGCAAATTGCACTGTTGGACCCACAGGTGATGGGAAGAAGCGCGTCAAGCGCAAGATAGCGATTGTTGTTGGTTTCATCGGAACGAGGCGTCGTGATTACATCTTCAGATTTGCGTGTTATCGTAAGCTTCAGCCAGGTACCGTGGTCTGATGATCAATCCAGAGGTGGAGCCAACGGTAACGAAGAAGTCCGTGGAGGCTCGGTGCAGTGTGGTAGAGTCAAGCCAGACGCTCAGAAACGCCTTCGGTCGTAGGAGTTTCTGCGGGTTGCCATGGTGAAAGCTGGCATCGTCAGTGACATCAACTCTCAGAAGCTGGAGCAGAAGGCAGACTTTTCACACCAAAATGGCATCGGGTGAGCCTAACGGACAATCGGCAGGTTGGCTGGAGCCGCTCCAGCCGAACAGATGCTGGGGTCGGCTGCCCGAGCATTGACCGTCATGACTTCGGCACATCATGTAGAGCGTTCGTGCTTTGGGCGGTTGGGAATGTCCACGAGGGGGTTGCTCTCAGGTTCTCCTATATACGGCGCTTTAATGCGTTTGAATTGCGCATGAAGCTGCAAATTTTCTAGCCTCAGAGCGACTTGTGTGGAAGGTCAGCGCGCTTCGCCTGGTGATTTCGGCAAGGCTCTGTGTGGAACCGGACAGCATCGACGAAGCGGGCTTCAGCCGAGGCTCCCTCGATGCAAACCTGTCTTGTGAACAACTTTGTAACCTGAAAACCTGCGCCAGAACTGGTCGACCAGATCAACCTGGGCCTGTTGCGAGCTGAAGATCAAGAATTATCAAGAATCCATAAGTATCTCATCCTTTCGGCTTGTCCGGTTCATCGCCTCAGCCTCAGCCTCTGAGGCCTGAAGACATTCGCTGCTTCAGTGCCAGGAAGGTGCCCAACAGCTTCGATGCCAAGCATGCAGCTCGTCCTCAGATACGCTCCGATAGCAGGGTGTAGGTCCATTCAGACAATGCTGTTTGACTAAGGCCTGTTCCTGGCGAGAGTGCCCTTCGAGAGTTGAGAAGCGCAGATAGGCCTGGAGCTGCAGAGAATCCTTGCACATGTGTCGGAGGTATGAGTACATTCTCCCGACACACCTGGCAAAGCCGGTGAGCCGCCTTCTCAACGATACACCGCCCTGCTTTGGCAAAGTTAAGGCAGCTTATGCCTTCAAATTCCATAACTGATTTCCAACATAGAGGTGCATCGCCAGATGATGAGCCATCTGCCGTGGCTTGGACAAACTGAAACATTGCTTCTGCCTCGCATGAATGGCACACACTTCTGCCTTTCGGGTTTAGGGGGTGTAGGGTCTAGGGTTTAGGGTGCATCTGTGAAGTTTAGAGTCTTTGCAATTGTTCGCACCGAAGGATGCCTTGGCAGCCAAGCTCGAAGCTGTTATGCGCCGCTTCGAAGGCCTTCTCCAGGGGCCTGTAGTGAAGCAAAAAATTGAAGAATTCTGAGCCTTTCGAAAGGTTGCCACTCCTTTCACAACTACACACGCCTCAAGGCGCGACTTGGAGTCCGCACATGGTCTTCGTTCGGAGCAGCCCCGCAGTGCCGCCGTTCTTTGTCCTCAGGCATCGGACTGTCTGCCCAGGAAGCCGTCGGAAGGCAGGAGTCTCCGAGTCTCTCCGAGTCTCTCCGAGTCTCTCCGAGTCTCCCGTGCCGGAACTTCGAAGCCACTCTTCCCTGGGCCGCTGAGGAGAGACTGGCAAGGGAAAGGGGAAGAAAGGGAAAGGGAAGGGCAAGGGGAAGGGGAAGGGCAAAGGAAAGGAGAAAGGCAAAGAGAAGCAGAAGGCTCTGAAGCGGAAGGCGGGCCTTATGTACCGGGTGCTTCACAAGGCCCGGAAAGAGTCTCAGTATCGCAAAACAAGCAGAGGCCTCCGAGGCCTTCCAGGAGGAGCCGGAGCCGACGGAGGGCGGAGCCCCAGAGGAGTCCAGGCCCCCGCGGAATCTCCCGAGAAAAAAATCAGAAAACACGTGGGTAGCTCTGAGCGGAGATTCGCCAGGCAAGCTGAAGCCGATGCAGAGGCCACTCCGAAAAACGAGGAGCAGGAAAAGGCCGCCGCCAGTCGCACTGCAGGTGCCTTCGGCTGACAATGAAGTTGCAGAGCATCTCGATGCAGGGGGCCCGGAAGTAACGCCGTCTGGCACGCCGCTGAATGAACCATGCCTGCGAGAAGGCTCCAACGGGTGAAGAAGGTGCAGTGCCAGGGGCCTGAGTCAGCAGTTTCAACTTTGTAAGGCTTCTGCACTTACTTCCGCTTCTGTTTATTCCTTAGTCCCTCGCAAGATGCGGGGGATCCTGGCGAAGCCGGTGCCCCGGAGATTTTCGCAGCACTTTGCCTGGCTCCCTGAACGAACTCGACGTGAGCGGGCTGCGGCTGAGGCTCTCCCCGCCGAGGCTCCGAGAGGCCAGGGCCCGTGGGTCGAAGTCTGCGCCAAGGCCCACTGGTGCTGGTGCGGATGTCGCGCAGTGGCCGCTTTGCATCGGCACGTCGGCCACAGACATTGCTTGAAAGCGCAGGATGCGAGCAGCGGCGCCTGGCGAAGTCGGCCGGATCACGTCTTGAAGCACACGCCCGGCACCCAGAAACCCCACAGGACTCCGAGTAGCATACAGGTCAATTAGCGGCCAGTCGACCTGTAGCGGTCTAGCCGTCTAGCCCGGCGTTAGATGGTGCGAGCCTTATTAGATCGGAATCGCAAAAAGTCGCCATGACGAGGCAGAGCACCATGCACATGATCTCGGTGGAACCAACATTGGAAGGCCCGCCTTCGCTGAGTGGCCAATATTCGAAGATGCATCTTGCTGCCTGCAGGCAAACTGTTGAGAATCGTGCTTCGCGGCCAGTTCTTCCTCTACAACCAGCAGATGCCCGAGCATGCATCGCTGAGGGACTCCGAGTTGAAACGAAGCTGAAGGATTCGGTTGATGGTCGGCACTGCTGTTGCCATTGTAGCCGGGGCAAAACCCTCAGCCAACCTCCTGAACTCGCAGAGACTGTGGAACCAATCGTTACAGGTCTTGCAGGAGGAGATGCTAGAGACCTGGCCTCGGTCGAAAACGCAGCTCATCTCTTGCAGCTCTCACATGCGAAGATCTGGGCCAGGACCGCACTGACGCTCACCACGGAGATGCACATGCCAATGGCCCCGGCAACGGGTCTGTCGCAGACCCAACTCACAATTTTGCATAGCATTCCCTTCGACTGAGATTCATAGCCTCGTTCTGGAGTATACCTCGTCTGATGCTGTGCGCTGATCCTATAAGGGCACCCACTGGAATTTGAAAGCCGATGCTTCCTGTTTTTCTGGCTGCACGGGACATAGGCATCTGTGGCTGACAAGGAATCTGAAGAACCTCTGTTGCCATGTCGGTGGGTTCTCTCAGGTTGCTGCGCACCGCCGGCTTTTCACGATTAGACAACCGAGTGCTCTGCCAGCAGTCCAGTGCTCGCTTGATCCCGCCCGTGCTTCAAAGCATGTCCAGGCTGGTGCTTGTGCTATGGACCCAAAGCAGGCGCACGTGCTTCGCTATGCGCTGTGCTTCGCTGAGGGGTGAGAAATGCCCTTGGGCCATCGAGGCAGAAGAGTGTATGCTGCCTTCCGACGGCTTTGTGCTGATGGATGACCAGGCTGGTCTTTGTGCAACACAGTCCTTACGGAATCCGCGGCCCAAACAAGGCTTCCCAAATGGCGCAAGGGTTTGTCAAAAACGTGGAGAAGGACATGGACGTCCAGTGGAGAGAAAGCGGTGTCGGGGACTCGAGTCCGCAGAGGGATCCTTCCAATGCAGCACCCTGCACCTAAGGAGGGCGATGCTTGGGTTGCCAAGATGGCTTTTATCAAGGCTCCAACAGGGGCGGTGCCTCGGCGCCGTCCAGACTGGGGCTCTCGGACTCCATGGTGGCAGTGATTGGTTTGGGACTTTGTGGGACCAAATTCTGGGCCGGGACAAATCTTAGGTCCTCGAGGAGCTGCGGGCGATGCGGGCCAAAGTGCAGCAGCCTCAATTGACAGCCCAGGTGAAAGTCCTTTTCGATGGCTGGATTTCCCGCCCTTTAGTTCGCTCGGTCAGAGGGTTGTTGTCGCCTGTGGTCTCAAGATGATAAGTGGAAGACTTGAGGCTGCAGGACCAGGCAGAATTCCGGGCATCACAGGACGCCACGCCAAATCAGCAATCAGCTGCGCCTCCTTACTCGTGGCACAGGACATGAAGGATACTAAACGCCGTGAAGCACAATTGGATTCACTGGGCGAAAGGCCTGGACCAGCATGCATTTGGCATGGACCCTTGACCAGTGGCCACAAAATCTGGCAGGTCTTCAGCAGGAGCGCCTTGACGAGTGCCAGGGGCTGTCAGTTCTGATATAGTCTGGTTGTTTTGCGTGCAGGACTGCTTCCGAGAAGGTTTGCCGCAGACCTGATGGTCCGCGGGTTGCACCAGGGCACCGGCACTGGGGATCTTGCACTCACCTGCACTCGCAGGTGCGCTTCCGCTTGGTGTTGCGGCCTTGGGCCTTGGCAGAGCGCAGGAATTGCACGCGATTGCTCTTCCAGGCCAGGCTGGCGTGTGAACAACATCCAAGAAGGACTCGTCGCAGCTCAGCTAGCTGTTGCTGGTGTTGTGAGACTGAGCTGTCACGATGCGGCTGCAGCTGAGGTACGAATAAGACAGTGGCATCAAGATCCATCCCAGAAGCCGCCGAACATGTCCATGCCTCCGGAGACAAAGGAGCTGTCAGCCACCCAAGTCTTCTGCCTCGGGAGCGGAGTTGGCAGTGTGAATTGGCTGACATGCTGAGGCTGGCGTACTGCGCATCAGTGGGGCTCGACGAGTTGTCCAGCGAGGGCATGAGCCGTGCATGAGCCGTGCAAGCTTCTCAGTGTGTGTGCACTTGGAGCAGCGGCCGCTCCGCTGCGGCTCTTATCACTTTGAGGCCAAAGAGCCTTCGATCCAGGTGCTTGAACATGCTTGAGGGGACTCTGCTAGTAGCATCTGTGCATATGTGTGCCGCACAGCTCCTGAGGATCTGGCAGTCCGCCTGTCGTTGGCTCCAAGCCGCATAAGTTTTTTGAGCACGAGTCACGAGACTAGGTTTTGAAGGCTCTTTGAAGCATGCGCCCAGCCTTTGCTACTGGTCTTTACACTGGTCAACATTTCCAAAAGCAATTAAAATTCCGATGGGCCCAGTAGAAGGGGCCCCGGCCCGGGGCCCATGGGGGAAACTCTCGAGGAGAGAGTCGAGAGCCAACCCGATGATGTCCGGGTCCCGCAATTCGTCCCAAGATTCGTGCATCTGCATCTTCAGACCCGGCTGGAGGTGAGTATTGATGGGGTGAAGTTGGTTACACCCACAGTAGAGCTCGCCTGCGTGCAGGCATCGAGCCTCTCCTCTTGAAGCCCTCTTCGCTGTGCACTGCTGTTGTGCCTGGTTCAGGTGGAGGAGCAGTTGCAAGGAGAGCAGGAAGATGACTTGGAGAAAGTCCGTAGTGCATCTTGCCCGGAGATGCAACGCAGATGGAAAAAATGCCTCATCTGCAAGACCAAGGAGCTCGAAGAGCTACGGGCTGTGCCGGAGGGCTCCTCTGAGTGGGTGGAGGCGAAAGCCCGCTTGGACGCAGCAGTGCAGGCTGCTGTCACCGCAGGCCTGTCGATCGCATGCACTGTATCTTCACCTATGAATTTGCGATCGTTTCGACTCTCGCGACAATTTCCGTCTCAGGCTGTGCGCAAGCAGAGCTCCTGGAAGCACGCGCAAGAGAAGCCGAGGTCTGGGAGTTCGGACTGGGACTTGAAAAGCGAAATCCTACCTAGGACACGGAACTCAGAACACGGGCTCGTGTTTGCGCCGGCGCCAGGCGGAGGCGGCGGCAGCGGGTGAAGAGCTCACCGGGGCCGCTGCGCGCAAGGCCTCACGCAAAGTACGAACTTGCCAAAACTTGCAGAAGATAATCTTGTTAAAAGCAACTTTTCGCAGAATCAGCGCAGCTTCAGCGCGGTGCTTCGATCTGCCCCCAGGCCCGGAAGCGGAGGCTCGAGGCGGAGAAGCTGAGGGCCGAGGCGACGTCGGAGAGGCAACGCATGGCCCGCTTTGGCCAAGCGGTCCGCAGAGCGCAGAGCAAGGCCGGGCTCTGCCGGGCTCTGCCGGGCTGGGATGGGCTGGGCTATGCGGCAGCCTGTCACAGCTAGGCCGATGAGATCCCGAGCATTACCGTGGAGCTGGAAGATGATGCAGAGGACGTCAAGGAGACAGTGATTCCTAAAGACACGAAGACGAAGACTGACACGCAGGCTTGGCGAGTCCTGCGGGCTCTGATCTCGTGAGTCGCGGTGCATCCGAGGTCAAGAAGGACAAGAGAGCGAAGAAGGCGGGGCCCGGAAGCTGCCGTGCTCGATTGATGCGGCAGTCACCCTGGCAGTCTTCGTCCGGCAAAGGGAAGCGGCGGAAGAAGGAGGCTCGCTCTGAGATCCCGCAATAAAGAGCCGTGCGCCCGCATATGCCGTGTGCATCGCGCCGGGAGGAGGTGCGGAGGAAGGCCGAGGAGGCAGCACGGCGGTGGCAAGAGCGAGACGACCAGGTAAGAGGGCCTCGGCGAGGGCGGCGATGCGGTGAGGGGTTGTCCTCTCTTGGCGGGTTCTTTCACGTCTCAGTGCCAGTTGGAAGCCAGCATCCGTGTCGTGGAGCAAAGAGGAGACGTTGGAGATGTTACCTGGATCCCGAGAGCTAACCGCTGACGACTGAGCCATGGTGAGGAGCGAAAGCTGCTGCGGAGAGGGAAGCGCAGCGGCGAGCAGAGAAGGACGTCTCCGTCGCACGTTTGTGTTGAGAGTGGCTCGCAGTGACGAGGAACGGCAGCTCAGGGCTGCGGCACCTTGGCTGTAGGTGGCAGTTGTCTTGTCAAAGTCTTTGTCTAGCTGTGCCTCCTAAGGAGCGGCGGCGAGAAGCGGAGGCTCGCCGATCACGATCCCGCGTTCGACGACGCCGCAGGAGATCTTCGTCCTGACCGTTCGACTTCCTCCGGTTCCGCGATGCCGACATCTCCGACGCTCATCGAACCGCAGTGACTGCAGCAAAGCAGCCGATGTTCGGCGAGGCACAGCTTGGCCCGTGTCCATCTCCGACTCATTGAACATCCAGCAGGAGAGCCGTTCCGAGCTTCCCGGGCACATCGTTGCCATGTGCCAATGTACGGGTAGGGCAGCAGCGGCGAGGAAGTACTGACGAGATCGCTGACGTGTAGCGAAAATTGAAGCAAATTACCTCAGCAGCTTTAGGGCTTTGGGGCTATGCTGAGCCCGAGTGATCATGTTGACAGGCAGTGGTTCGATTGATCGACCATTGATAGATAGTATTGACGATTCAAACCTGCTGTCTCACGAATCCCGGGTTGTTCTTCTGCTGCGCTGTGCACCTCCCCTCTGCAGCTGCGATCTAGCTTTTGTAGGGCTTGGGGTTTGGGTCGAATAGCATCAGCATGGCAGAGGAGGAGGCTGCCGGGCGCTTCAGATATCTTTGAGTTGTACTGGCAAGAGCATCTGCCTTGCCTGCCTTGCCCTGAGGCCGAGCAGGAGGAGGGAGGAATTCCCTTGTCGCAGGCTTGAGATGACAGAAAAATCTGAAGCTTGCCAGCAGAGTCGCATGGAGCAGGCTTCGCTCCAGCAGCTGAACGTGGTAACGACCTCGGGGGCGAACTTTCAAGCTTTCCTTCAAGGCCTTGGCTGCCAGGTGAAGCAGCAGCTGGAGCAGGAAGTCAGAAGCCTGGTGCGAAGCCAAGACTGCATTAGCACCATTTGCTGAGAGTCAGACCCGCGACACCCGATTTGCTGCTGAGTTGAACAACCAGCAAGCACTCAGGGAGGCGGAGGCAGGGAAGCAGTGGCATGTGTCGTGGTTCAGAGTGAGCCGTCGCACAGGCACGCTTTCAAGCGTCTATGGAGACCTTGAAATCGCTGTGCCCGGAGAACCAGGGCAAACCCATGCTCGTGTGAACCCGAGCGTTCAACACTTCGCTTCATCAGCCCACCAAGCTCGGCAGACCCCAGCCGGCAATGCATGGCGTCGGTGGTCGTAGTGGTGTTGGTGACAAAGCTATGCGAAGTCGCCCCCACCCCCCACAAACTGATAGGAGGTGCTAGCGCTGCTGGCTACTGCTGGTAGTGTCGACGTCATAATAGTTGACAGTTGTGGACCCGGCAGCACTCGTAGTTCGCAGCTCATAGCTCGGAATACTAGTAGTAGATGCAGCAGGAGGAGGAGCAGTAGCAGCGGTAGTAGCAGTAGTAGTAGCTCACCCAGTAGCATTAGCAGAAGCAGCAGCAGGAGCAGGAGCAGGAGCAGGAGCAGGAGCAGGAGCAGGAGCAGAAGCAGTAGTAGTAGCAGTACAGTAGCAGTAGTAGTACTAGCTGGTAGTAGCAGTCTTATTAGCAGCAGCAGCAGCAGCAGCAGCAGCAGCAGGAGTAGTAGTAGTAGTCGTCGTCGTCGGTGGTGGTGGTGGTGGTGGTGGTGGCAGTAGTTGTTGTCGTAGAATTTGAGTTTCCTGTGTTCCCGCTTCGTCCGATTTGTCGTTGCCGCATTATTGCCGGTTCGTGTAGGAACAGATGCCGCCGCATCAGTCGCCGCCGTCATTGTCTTCCTGTCAGAAACATAAAAGCTGCCTCTTGCTGAGATTCCTTTAACGTCATCCCTTTACATCGATGGACATATGACGGAAACGCAGTGGACTCGGCTTGTGATGACGAGGAGCAATCAGATCTCTCGATCATTCTCCATCCGAGCAGGAAAAAGGTGACAGTCGACGTCGGCACTGGCTACTACATTGAGATGTCAGTGGAAAAAGCACAGAAATTTTGCAACAGGCGCGCAGACCAAGCGTTTTGACCTCCTTCGTCATGTGCATGGGGCATGTGGAGTTGTCAGTATTGCTGTTGTTCTTCTGCGGGCGATTGTGCGAAGGAGATGCAAGCTGCTGGCCGACAACGCTGCCAGAGTCGAAGGGGTGCTTTGTATGCGACGGAGACCATCTCTTAGAATGGTTAATTAAGTGGAATGCAGCTGCCGGTTCAGGTTCTAAAAGACAAGAGGAAGAATTTGGAGACCCTCCAGATGACCATGCAACAGAAGCTGTGCCCTGGTTATTCGGCCACCGGCCAGTGAGGTCGGCATTCCGGATTCTGATGCAAGATATGCAAGGTACTTGCTGCAACAGCAGCAGGAGGCCGCAAAAGAGAAGGACGCCTGAGGAAGGCGACTAGGATCGAAAAACCTCTGGCGCTGGGGGTTTGTCGGAAGGCGACGCTTTCCGTCGCAATTTGTGCATACCCGCTGGGAGCAGCTGCCTAAATATTGGCTGTCCCACACGAATCTCAGATAGCTGCATTGGAAGGCCGACTCATACTGCAGTTGGATCCTGGAGCATGAAAAGGAGGATTCAAAAGAGCCGCAAGCAGCACAGCAGAGCCGCTCGTTTCAAAAGGCCGCATCCACACCCCAACACGCGTCCTGGTTTGGATGCGTTAGCATGACCCACAAATAGTCACATCTGCGTGACAATCTTCGGCAACACGGTGCTTGATGGACTAGCGCAAGGTAAGAGATGGATCCGGTGAGGCCCGGGCCCAGCAAAAGTGACTGCAAGCCGACGCACACAAGAGCGCGAGGAAGGTCCATCGTTTGCGCACAGAGTGTGATTGTGTTAATGACACCGCCCAAATAGACCTTAGGACTCTGTATGTGCATCGAGTTTATCGAGTTTGAGACAGTTGCATCTCTTCTCTCCTGTCTCTCCACTCCTCCCTTGTGTTTCTCTCCTATCCTCTCAACTCCGCCACATCTCTCCTCTCGTTTGCTCTGCCACTGATGCCCATCTGCAAGCTATAGTGGGCACCAGGACCCCGAAACAGAGGAACTGAGAATGGAGGCTGCAGGGCAGGTGGATCCTGGATACTAGAGCTGAGATTGGACAACAATCATGCTCGAGCAACACAACATCTCTGGAGATGGGGGCGGGCCAGAGGATTCAGCCTCTCATCGCCCACCTCCTCCTCTCCTCCGCGTCACTTGAATCGAGCAGCTGTGCAATGACAGTGCCTCGTAGAACTCGCTTGAAGACGGGCAGCATGAAGGGCTCGAAAGGGGCCGCCAAGGGCGATCACGATAGGCCTCACTAGAGTCACTAGAGGCCTCACCAGAAGCCATGCTCGCCTAGGCCTAGTCCCCAAGGAGCATTGCAGGTCGAGGAAAGGCAGCCGCATGACGGCAAGCATTCGACCGCTTTATTTGGCGATCTCAAAATCTCTTCTAAATTTACGGAAACAGCTTACGGCCGATGTCTCTCTCTGGCAGCTAGACGCTACCAGACCAAGAACGGCATGGCGGGACAGACACGGAGCTCGGCAAAGGCAGGCTGCGGTGCTGGTCACGATTTCGTGGTATGCTGGTAGCCAGGTCCAAGCAGCGATTGCTGTCCTGGCTGTTGTGTGCTTCTGTGAGGTGGCCCGGGTCTGAGAGTTCTGGCATGAGGGTGAGAGATGGTGAGAGCCAAGAGAAGTTGTGAGCCGAGGTTCCAACAGGGTGGTGTGCCCACCGTGGCCACGCTCCCGGAGTCAGAGATGAAGGGCCGAAGGGTGCTCCCTTTGAAGATTTCAGCTTTGGGCCTCGGCCAAGGCATTGGTCCGGGCACCTCACATCGAAGGCACTGCCGGATTGCAAACGCAGCATAGCCCCGCCCTGCCGTTGTCGAGTTGGCTAAGCGTCCGCGGATGATCATTGCTCCGAGCAAATTGGCAGAGCTGCTTGCAGCAATGACTGCCGGACAGCTAATCTTCTCTCTGAGGACCTTGCTCCAGATGCTTGTTCACTGCAAGATGTTTACGGTCGGACGACGTCCGAATTGTTGCGCCCTTCGTTGCCGAGCATGGGGTGAATGGCTGCTAGGTTGCGCAATTAAAATAGACTTAACTTCATACCGTGTGTTATATATGCATTTCCGTAGATGGTACTTGGAGTTTGTTACGCTGCACGCTGTTGTTACCGGTGGTACATTCCGCAGGGTAAGGTTAAGCCGGTGGTTCCAACCTCTGCCGCCGGTTTGCCCCAGCCCCAGACAGATTGCAGCGTGGTCGCGGACAGCGCTGCACGAGATTTTCTGAAGGCTGACGAGGGCTTCCGCTGTGAAGTCGGAGACCGAGACTGTTGTTCTTGTGACAAAAGATAGAATGCCACAGGTTCGCCTGGCCGCGTAGTCTTCCTGGGTTCGCCCGACTGCGTGGAGGCATCGTTTCTATTGCAGGATCAAAGGTTCTCGCCCTGGGTGTTGAAGGTGGTGCTGCAGTCTCTCTGGAATGCCAGCCAAGCCTCAACAGATTTCGAGGCCGGCAATGCGCCCCAGAAGTGATTTCTTGACTGGCACCTCTTGTGTGGAATCAGGTCTGTGCCGTGGTTTCTCGTCCGCCGAAGCGCGTCAAGAAGGCTTGTGACCTTGTGCTGACAGAAGACGGGCACGAGCGGGTGGCCACCGCAGGCCATCGCCAAAACTCCCGTGCATGAGCTCGCTGAAGATCTCGGGGTGCAGCCAGTGGAGCGGTGTGATGACTGCACTGCTCTTACTGTGCGGCTCTGGGTCCTTGCAAAGGTCTCCAACATCTTGACGCCACCATCAGCAAGAGTGACACGCTCAGAGGGCTCAGACTCGGACTCTGAGTGTCGTTCGTGGTGGGGACTGAACGGGCATACCCCCAGATCGACCACTGAGGATGAGGCGTTTCTGGAGAAACTAGAAGAGTTGAAGCCTGATGCTGCAGTCTCGGAGAGCGAATCGGATCGCTCCAGCAGTCCTTAAAATCGGTGCATGGGTCTAGGTCTGCGTGACTGCCGCGTGCCCGGCTGCGTGGCAGATCACTGCACAAACTGGTTACTGCAATGCGTGGGAGAGCGCCTGCAAATTTGGAGTGCTGGGAGACTTTGGCTGACTTTGGTTGTGACAGGTATGGGGAATATTTGCCGCGGCGGTTTCTAGAGGTGCCCATGGCCTGTGCTGACAGTGGTGCAGATCGCGACACGCGACGCGGCTGGTCGTCTCAGGCACCGCGTTTGGGCACCATCAACCTCCACCCGTCACTGCTGCCACGATGGCGAGGCCGTTAAAACCCCAAGTGCTGCGGCTGCGGGCGGTGGCCGATTGTGCTTGTGCAGGCGCTTCGCCCGTGCAGCGCTGCCTGGTGGCTGGCGATACGGAGACGGGAATCACGGCGCGCCATGGGAGACAGTGGGACTGGGACCCGCGCGCAGGAAGCCCACGGACTGCTGTAACTTCCTCTGCTCCGCTCTGATCAGATCCTGTACACTGTGGCGAAAATGGATGCTGGGAGCGGGCCCTGGCAGCTTCCCGTTCTCTTCGTTTCGACTGGCTGCGGCATTCCGAAGGCCCATCATCGTCCAGGAGAAAATGGCCCTCGATGGCTGGACACTCGCAAGCTCGTGAAGGATGAAGTCAAGAGAGGACTCCGCTGCAGAGGCTCTGAGACTTCTCCAGAGCTGCTTGATACGCTCTTCCGGCCTGGGCTTGAGTTCCCTGCCAAAGCCCGGAAGAGACTCAGAGTGCTCCCTTTTTTCTCAGGTGGGGTGGCGACCTCCTGGTGGAGGCGGGCGGAAGGAAGTGCTCGGGTCATGTCCAAACCCACTCTGGCACGCAACAAGCTGCGGCCACAGGTGCTGCCAAAAATCCTCGCTGGCGAGGCGTGCAGACGCTAGATTCACACAGTGATTCGGCTTTGGGTTCTTCAGAGGTCACGATGGAAACCGCAGCCGTTCAAGATGAACGCCTTGTGGAAAAGGCAGCCGCAGCTCTGAAACATCAGAAGGAGCAGAGGTTTCCAGGAAGATCGAATCATCACCACATCCGTGGTCGCTAGAATCTTCACAAGGGCCGAGTCGCCATATTGATATCACACCCCTGTTATCATCTGTTATCCACTTCTTCTTCGTCCTGGTCATGATCATGTTTGTCGTCCGATCAGGCCCCGCTCATCTCGAAAGATGAGGGCAAACTCTGGCCACACAACGAGACCGCTCTCCAGATGCGAGACAAGGCCCTCGTCCAGCACAGTGACCACAAGCTGAACCTCTTGATCAGATTCAAGGGACTCTGGAGCCTTTCAGAGTTCGATGGCTCGCTTCCTTCAGTAGCGAATATGCTTATGAACAGTCTGAACGACGAGGCCGAGGGGCATTTAAGCATTTGAGGACCGGAGGGAGAGAAGTGGGGAGTCTCAGCTGCGAAACTGGTGATTGCAGTCTCCAAACTTGTGGGCAAGCGCATGAAGAGCAGTTCCCCTGTAGCCCGTGAGCAGGTGCGGGGCTTCACGGGATGGTGTCTCGGCTCTCATCCGGTGTTTCTTTTTTTTATAGTTCCTTTCGTCTCAAAGTTGGCTCCAGTTTTGGCTCCAGGCCCGGCACCACGCTTGCGATCACCTGCTCGGGCTCCAAAGCTCCGCCTCAAGGCAAGGATGGCAAGGGCATGCAAGGGCAACAGCTAGCGCCCTTGGGGCCTTCGCTGTTGGAGGCGTCCGGGTCAAAGTAGCAGGCGCAGACGTCGCCGGAAGCTTGGCTTGGACATCCCCTTGCAGCTCGAAATTCGCACTGCTACGGACCCGGGCGCATGGCATGTGTTTAGGTCCCCTTTTCGGCTTTTGCCTCCTCGGCCAGCCGGCAGCTCTGGCTAGACCGCATGCAACCGGACAAGAACGGGGTACTGATGTCTCCACTACTGCTTCACAATGGCCTTATAGCTGCAGCATGCTGCATAGCTGCGCCGAGCACGTTTGCGCGCCACGCGCAAGCGATTGGCTTGTGCCGGCGTGAGCCAAGGTCCAGATGCACCTCTCCAGGAGCTCCTGTTTATGCCCGCCGGGGCCCATGGTGTCGTGAAGGGCAGAGCCTCACCGTCCGACCTACAGCGATTGTAGAAGCAATTTGTGATTCGTTGACATCTCGTTCACTTGTCTTGCGTTGATTTCCGCTTCTGATGCTGAATTTGATGTCGCCGCTTGCAGAGGCCGTTGACGGCTCTGAGCCTGTTGTCGGCGTGAGGCCAGCAATGGACCCAGAGAATGCACGCACCCAAGTTGTTTGAGCAGACAAATGTTGTTAGCGTGAACAAGCGTTTGCATCATCGGGTGGAAGGGAGGGACATGTCCTGTGCCATTTTGGCTCAAGCACCCAAAGAGCACCAGGGTTCTTCGAAAATGGGCATGTCGACTGCACTGGT